CCTTGAGGGCATCCAGAACGGCAGACTCGGAGAGGCTGTAGTGGACAGGGAGGTAGGGCGGCTCAAGGTCATCGTCGGCACTCCAGGCCTGGCTGGGCATGGAGTCCATGGTGTCGGTGCGAGGTGGGGCCTCGGAGGAGTGCCCAAAGTTACTCTCACTCAGGGAGGACACACCGCTGCTGGCACTGCCGGACAGTGTGGAGTTGCTGCCGTCCAGGCCCGACTGGGGGCTGGTGGGGGAGGCTGGGATGGGGTGGAGCGGAGACTGCAAAGAAAGGGGTGTGTGTGTGAGGACCCCTTTCAGCCCAGCAGCCACCACCCACCACACCAGCCCACAGGAAGGCCAGTTGCTGGGCTCTTCAGCAGCACCCCCGGCTCTCCTCCCACCCGGAGCAAGTTCCCGGAGACCAGAATCACCTGCTGTGCTGGCCACAGGAGGGCCCTGCTTGGCTGCTGGGCACTGGTGCCCCTGGGGTCAGATCCCAGGACACTCACTGGCGTTAGGCCAGGTGAGAAGGCAGAAAGAACCCCGGTGGGCTGTGGACCAGATGGATGTATTCTGCTGCTACGGTTCATTGTGACAGGCTCAGTTTGCCAGTTTTTCAGAACAGTTAAATTAACAGGCAGGACTTAAGTTTTATGTGGGAGTTTTTCTTAAAGCTTTGGTGCCTGATGCTTCCTGCTTTTGCCTGACTCTAGAAGGGTCTGCAACAGGAATGTCCACTTAGCTCCTGCACCACGGTGAGGGGAGACCTTGGGGTGCCGGCGCAGAGCACCCAGCCTCAGTGCTACCTGCCAAGTGCTCTTGGCACCATGGGTGGTTGTCTCCAGGACACTCTGCTCTCCCTGTCCCCAACCCAACTTGCATTTGTTGTGTGACATGTTGGTCACTTGCAACTCAAGTGTGACTCTGGCCCACTTTCAGCTTCTGCCCGACTGGGGACAGAGGAGCAGGAATAGGGCTTAAGTTCCTCTCACAGACCTCAGGGGTGATTCTCGATGGGCTGGCGGGCTGTGGCTTCAGTACGTTACCTTGCGCAGGGTCCGGGCAGGGAGGGCAGGGGGTGTATCACCCAGAGGGTGGTGGAAGGCGTCAAAGTGTAGGGAGTAGTGACCTGTAAAGGGAACAGAACCAGAGCCTCAGCTGCGGGCCCTGCTCAGCTGCAAGCCAGCAGGTCTACCTGGGCAGGCATGGGAAGAGACCCCCCCCATGGGGTCCCTCACATTGAGGTCATAGGAAAACCTCTTTTTCATTCTGTCGTTCTCCAAAACACAGGCTGTTGGGATGAAAGAAACCTCGTCCACACGAAGGTCAGAAAGGTGAATGCTTCAGAGCCCATGGGACACCAGGCCACAGGCAGTGGCAGCGGCAGCTCCAGCCCATGGCTAGGTGACGACAGGCTGGTGAGCAACGTGTCTGGTTCATTCAATTCCGCCGTCTTCGCCTCCCTGGTGAGAGGCCTCGCTGTGCCGACCTGCTGTGCCCAGAAACCTCACTGACCCCAAAGCCCAGCGGGAGCCTTTCTGCGATGGGGATGCTTTTCTTGGCTGAGTCAGCCCAGAGAATGGCCCGTCTTCTCAGCCTGGATGGCTGTTGCCCTGGCTCTTGAGCAGAGCCTGAGACCAGGGACTATTTGGGGGACCCGCTGGAGGTCTTCTTACCATGCAGCAGGCTTCGGGGAGGCACTGGGGGGACCAGGACGCGCCCCATGTGGGCAGACAGGAAGGGCTGGGCCTCTCGGGCTCCGCTATCCAGGCTCCAGCTGCTGGGGGCTGCTGGCACCGCTGAAGGGTGGAAACAGACGGCATGGAGGGGGGTTACTTCTTGAGCGACCTCTGGGAGAAGCCCATCCTACGGCCTGGGGCTTCTCCAGGCATGCACTGTGTGCCCAGCACACGGGGGTGGCATGCTAGCCTCTGGGACTGAAAACACTGGCCAAGCAGGCACTGTGGCCCACAGAGGAGAGGCCAGGGGCTGAAGCTGCTTCGGCAGAGCACGGTGAAGTCTGAAGAGTACTCAGGATGAGACAAGCTGAGAAAGTGCAGTGAGGAGTGGATGTCTGCAGCCCCTGGAACTTGCCAGGAGAAGAGAAAACGGAAGACGAAGAGGAGAGTGGAACAGGCTAAGGACACCGAGAACACAGAGCGTGCAGCCCACAGAGCTCCTTGGTGAGGTCGAGAGCCAGGCCTCTCCTGCTGCCCAGGCCCAGGGAAAAGCAAGGCATGCAGTGGGCGGGCTGCACGGACTGCCTCGACTTGATGGTGGGCCCAGTGTACCTGCCGGAGGGAAGCCAAAGGGCGGGAGTCGCAGCTCCAAGGGCCCGCTGCTTCCTGAGGGAGGAGGACTGGAGCGAGTGTGCTTGTGAGCACCTGGAGAGGCCCCACTCCTGGCACCACATGCCATGGAAGCAGAGGAGCTGGGCCCTGGACAAAGGGAAGCATGGGTGCCCCGCTTCCATGCTGAGGAAGGGGTCCAGTGCCAGAAACCTGGCCCCTCGGCCACTGTTGGGGTGAGACTTTGCCGGAGGGGAGGGGAGAAGAGCAAAGACTGGACCTGGGTTGGAGGTGCCACTCTAACAGGAGCAGTAGGGGACGGGTGAATTCTGACCGCTGATCCCCTTAAAGAACAAATACCACTGGGAGGAGACGTGCCCTTTCCCTGACAGAGCCAGGCGAGCCCCAGCACTTCTGGGCTGAGCAGAAGGGACGAGGCTCATGGCTGGGTGCCTGGCCACGGGCTTTGCTCACAGGCAGGACTAGCTCCTGTGAGCCTGGGGTAGCCAGGGCTCGGCTTCTTCCTCATTTAGGCACTGAAGGGGAATTCTAGGGCCCGATGGAAGGGAAGGAACTGGAGGCCATCCTCTGAGGAGGGTGTGGCCAAGAGGGACTGGCCCACGGCAGCTCCGTGTTAAGATGGTGCCATCCGCCCTCTTCCCCCTCACGGCTCTGGCTCCGGCACTGGTGTGGGCGCACAGCACATGCATGTGCAGGCTCTGCTATCAACACGGCCTCGGTTGTAAGGGCTGCCCAATCTCATGTGGTAGATGGCTGGTGGAAAGGAGGGGCGCGACAGTGACTGGGCTGCAGGCCGGCACTCGGGGTCCCCAGAAGGGAGGAAAGAACTCAGAATCTGATGAGCCTCAGGGATTCTGCCCGGCCTCCTCCGGGAGCCTGAGCTAACACAAGCGCAGGCCTACCTTTGCCCACTCTCTCCTACCTCACCACGAGCTTCTCAGTCCTCAGCACTGAGGTCCTCTCTCCCCCACCTCCAAAGAAAACCACTTTCTCCATAAAAAGCCACCAGATATCAGGACTACGAAGCTTGGAGGCGGGTCTGGGCAGTCTCCTCAAATGGGTTCCGGCAACCCAAGATGTCAGATGTACACTTAGCCCTTGGAAGAGTTGTGGGGCTGCAGAAATTCACCCACAAGGGCCCAAAGGAACTCATGGGCAGGACGTGTGTGGGGGAAGAACACTGGCAAGCTGTGACGGTCTACTCAAGTGCCCCCCCTGAGCGATCTCTGAACCAGAGCCATCGAGCTCACCCTGCGGCCTGGTGTCTGGAGCTGGAGGCCAGTGGACCTTTGCCATGCAGCACAGGTGTGCTGGGGCTAGAGGAAAGACCAGGATGGAAAGTCTTCTCCCAGGAGAAGAGGGGCAATCCCTACCGTGTTCTGTCACATCTGTCTGTCTCTGTGTTAGCAACTGTCCAGCACTGGCCCAAGGTCCCAGAGCATAGCCCACGGCTGTGAGGGCAGGCTTGCTTGGTCTGGGAGTCGATGCCTGGCGAAGAGAGACTCAGTACAAGTGAGATGGAATCTTCCAGAGCCTCAGTCCCCTGACACCCCAAAGAATGGTGAAAAGGACCTGGAGTTCCTGCCTGGGCAGATCTGGGCAGACTTAGGGGGTTATCTATCTGGCCTGTGTTGGCACTCAGCAGATATTTGCTGCCTACCGAGTGCTGGCCTTGTGGTGTGGCCACACTTACTCTGGGCTCAGCCTGTCCTGAGACACCTTCCTTCCCTACATGCCTGAGGTGGGCATGTACAGCTCCTCGCTGGAGACTGGCCTGAGGCTTGAAGCTCTTCTGTACTGGATGGCGAAGATCTGGTCTGGCCACTGGCATCCATTTGAGCACTAAGCCCATATGGCCCTTCGCTAGTTCAGAGATTGTGCTATATCTCAGA